AAAGATGGTGTAGTGACCTTTCTGCATCAGTTCAAGTGATCACACTGCCTGGTATGAATGGATCTGATTGTTTGTTTGTTGTGCAATGTGAAAGCCCCATTGGTGGAGGCAGAAACTACAGGATTTGGATTGGCAGTCTCTGAGTTAATTTGCATTTTTGTGTCATGTGTTCAATGGGAAAAGTGCAAATCAGCTGGCCCCACTCCTGAAGAAATATCTGCATTTTTCACCAATATGTACACACCCTGAGATAAGCCAATTTTAGGACATTGTGACCAGAAGATGGTTCTTCAGCTATGTAACCACTTCATTTCTATGGTTGTATGAACAATAACATAAGAGACACAAATAGCAGGAGCTGGAGCACAAAGAGTATCTAAGAGAGAGGTGATTGATTTTAATTCCCACTAAGAACTAAGAGACAAAGGACAAAGATGCTAGATCTAATACACAGTGACTAGAGATGGGGGGCGACTCGCCATTTTGGTGAGTCATTCTGCTTTGAGATTCGTCAAATTTGACGAAGCAATGAAGCTCCCCCATGAACCAATGAAGCACGAATTTATTCAGTGATTCATGGGGACATTACTAAAAAAACCTGATGCTGCAGACCACCACTGTGCCACCTCCCCCATCATGCTGCCATCCCCTGTGCTCCCCGTGCCACCAATGCCCCCACCAACCCTGCCGACACCCCACACTGTAATCGCCACCAGCTGGCCTCCACAGCCACAACCTAGCTGCAGACCACCACTGTGCCACCTCCCCCACCATGCTGCCATCCCCTGTGTCCCCCTGTGCCACCAATGCCCCCCGCCAACCCTGCCGACACCCCGCACTGTAATCTCCACCATCAACTCCAACTGGCCTCCACAGCCACAACAGGCTACGGGAATCCAGGCAGCTAAGGTAGGGAGAGGAAGGGGGCGGGAGATAGGCTGTGAGGGTGGGTGGCTGTGGGGGTGGGTGGCTGCTTATTGGCCCACCAATCAGCTGATTGGCAGGCCAGTAGGCAGAACATGAATTGTAACAGGAACACAGCTAACGACCTTGAGCAGGGCTTTCCCACAGCCCCTAATGAAACATTTATTTTGTTTTATTCCATTTTATTTTATTTTAGTAAGTAGCAGCATCATGGGAGGTTGACAAGAAATTTTTGTGGATGATATGGTCAACATTGTGTTCATGTACTTGCAGAAAGTTGGCACGGAAACAAAACAAAACAAAACAAGGAATTATATACCTTCTTGTATGTATCTAGATCCAGAGAATAACATGTATGATACAATGTGTTTCTGATAGGCACTGAGTGTGTAACTAAATAGTGAGGGAAATGGGAATTTACTCACATTCACTTATTGTGAAGTTGCATTTGGGAAGCTGCACTTTTTAAATTTTCTTCTTATTATTATATATAAAATCCATCTATGCTTATTTAATATCGTATCACCTGAGTTCAGCCCACAATCATTTGCCAATAACACTACAATACATATCAAGCTCCTAATCTATACAACATGCTTCTAACCATTGATAAAACAAGTTCCATGTTTGATAATATTCTGCATCTTCTTTTCCTTTGATTTTCAATGTCATTCTATCCATTTTGGTGCAGTCCAATATCTTTTTAATTATTTTTGATCTGTAGGTGTTTCTTAATTTTTCCAGTGTTGTGCAAATATAATTCTTGCAGCTGTTAAAATATGCAGTATTAAATATATATATATATTGTTTATCAACACTTTCTGGCATTATATCTAGTAAAAAGAGTTTTGGCTTAAAATCTACATGTTTTTTGATTATTTTAACAAGCCATATATGTATTTTTTTTTGCAAAAACTTTTTGCTTTATCACAGGTCCACCAAAGATGATAATAAGTTCCAGGTTTTTTTATGACATTTCCAATATTTACTTGACCTATTAGAGTACATTTTGGCTAATCTATCGGATGGTAAATGCCATCTATAAAACATTTTGTATAAGTTCTCTTTATAAGATGTTGCCACTGTCATTTTATAGTTTCTAGACCACAGTTTTTGTCATTTTTTCAATGCCGATATTATGTCCAAAATTGTTTGCCCATTGAACCATCGTTTCTTTGACCTGTTCGTCCTCCATTTTGCAATGTAAAAGAAATTTATATATTTTCCTAATTAATTTATCATCTGCTGTAAACATTAGTTGTTAAACATTGTCTGTTCTTTATACAATTCATACATTTTTAATCCCTTTCATATCTAGATTGTATTTGCATTATGGGCCACCACGTTGCGTCTAATCCCTGGTCTATAAGGTCTTACAGTATTTCAAGTTCAGAAGATTGGAATGAACAAATGCTTACATAGGTGAGAGCCATCCTGGTATTTTGTGTACATTTTCTTTTTTATCTTTTCCCATATGATATACAAGGAGTCTCTAATATAATGGTTTTGGAAATACCTGTGAGTTTTAGCTTTCTGATACCAGAAAGTTGAACTTCTTAGGATCTGTTCACATTAACTGGACATAGGGAAAGAGGAAGAAAACCTTATTCACAGATTGGTTGCAGTTCTATTGTAACCCTGCAGGAGATGCGGTTACAAGGGACCTACCTAAGAAGCTATAAATGCAGATTTCCTGCTCTGGCTTCCTCCTCTCCTTTTATATGTCTTGTCACCAGAGAGACACTTTGCTCACCATTCTGAAGCTGGTTTTTTTTTAAGAAAAAGAAAAGTCTTACTGACAAATAGAGGCCTTTTTCACCATTCCTATGGCTATATGTGGTGTGGTGGCTTTCCTGCATCAGTTCAAGCGATCACACCACCTGAACTGATGTAAATGAATCCATTAAGAGAAAAGAACAGAAAAGTGGAAGCCCTAGTGGTGGGGGCAAAAAATATTGAGGGGCGTTCTCGGTTGACTTTCCTTTCCTTTTCTATTGCGTGGTCAAAGGAAAAAATGCAAATCTATCAGCCCCCTCTTGGAGAATTTCCTGCATTTTTTTTACCAATGTGGTCATTCCTGGAGATAATCCAGTTTTGGGACATTTTAACTGTAGCCCAAAGATGATCCTTCAGCTAAGGAACCACTTCCTTCCCACGGTCATCAACAAAAGCCCATGAGATGAAAAAAGTAGAAATAAGAACATAAAGAGTAACTTTGAGAAATGTGATTAACTTTCCTTCCAGCAAATTCCTATGGATTTACCGACTTTAAATCACAAGCTGCCAGGGTCAGGGAACTGGTGAGACTGAAGTTTAATTCTAAAAAGAACTGTGAAAGGGACATTTTTGCTTTGATTGCTGCATTCAATAATTTGAGTCTGACTCAATAATTTGAATTCACTTGCTCTGAAGTCAAACTGGGGAATTTGGGTTTCCCTGTGCCCATTCACATTAACTGGACACATTGGGAGAGGGAAATTGGCTAAACAGCCTTGTTTGTGGTTAGCTCTCCTGAAGTTGTGAAATAGGTGTTACTACAGGAGAACTAACTTAATAAGCTGTAAACAAGGGCCTGATGGTCTGTCTGACTGTCTAACTGCCCTAGCACAGCACTGGTGAACAATTTTTTTTTTTACAGAAATGAAATGGCATTATTTGCAAAGATATAACCCTCCCTGGCTGGATCTTCTCCCTCACCACAGCTGCTCTGCCATCCTGGTAACCACAGCAAACATTTCTCTGCCTTGGTTTCAGTAATTACACCATCTGAACTGATGTGAATGGTTTCATCGAGGGGAAAAGCAGAAGCCACAGTGATTCTCATTTACTTTTGTGTGGTCAATGAAAGAAATGTGAATCTAGCCATCTTAATCCCATAGCATGACTCACATTTTTGTCACTGTAGTCACACCCTTAGGTGATAAAAAAAAGTGCACTTCCATAAAGGAACACTGGGTAGAAGATTTATTTACAGAGAAATAATCACATCCCCGCTGCATGTTCAAACAGTCATAAAGATGTCTTTATTAAGCATAGATGTGTGGAGAAGGAATTGAAAGTAGCTTTATACAATGTGAATTTCCCAGTTGAATCAATGTGAATACTCTCACTGATGATCTGTTTGTTTCTAGTTTGCACTGCAACATGATACCTGCTTCAGCTGTAGAGGACAAAGGCTTTTCAGTACACATTGAGAACAGAGAGCACATAGTAAAGAAAAATAATAAAGTATATATATTTTAGTTCTTACATTTAGTATTGTCTATAAAATGAGTCTTTTAGTTTCATCAAGAAGATTCAGCACTGGCCAGACACAAGATTGAAAAAGCTTAGCGTTCTGCCACTATCACTTTGTATAGGGAGATCCAAAGGCAATCCTTCAGCTACAGAACCACAACGTTGGTGCAGGTTGTCAAGGTAGAGGCACACAATGCAAAGTGAACAACCAGATGCATAAGCTGTGTCACAGAAAAGGGGTTTGGGCCCTCATTCCCTATAACGATTGAGAGGAAGAGCACCAAGTTGTTAGATCTCATGCAAAATGATCTATGTGGGCCACTTATTCTGCTATCACCATAGTACAGCAGATATGTTTTAATCAGGGAGAAAGTGGAACAATTGGTCTAACTTCTCCAGGGTTCTAAGTATTCTACACTGTGACCTGCTAACAAATGGGATAATTAAATTCCTCTTTTACAAAGAAGAAGGAGAAAAAGAAAAAAAATCTGCTTACATTCCTCACTTTCTTTAGAAGAGTAATAAAGGGTCATTGTAGGGCAAAGATTTCTATCACATTTCACAATTTCTCTGCAACCTACATTTTCATAAGCAAATAAAAGGTCATTGTAGGGCGAAGATTTCTATAACATTTCACAATTTATCTGCAGCCTACATTTGAACCCATAAGCAAGTTCAAACATGTTAATAAAGCTTTTCCCACCAGATTACTTATGTACTTGTTCAAACCCACCCATAAGATCGAACATAGGTTGCAAAAAAAGTATGACATGTCATAGAAATCCTCCACCTGGTTAGAAGGTATAGAAAGCAGCTCCAGCAAGCGTCCTTGTCCAATGTTATCTCCTTCCAAAATGTTCCCTCTTATTCAATTCAGGCTTCAAAAGAATAATGTAACACTTGGGGAGAAAGATGCAAGCCAGCAGCCCAGCTCCTGAAGCTAAGATAGAGAAGCTCTCCACAGCTGATGCATATTTTCCTTTGGTGCACAAATATGTTGGAATAAAAGTCAGCCACACACTACAAAACACTAACATGCTAAAAGTGATGAACTTGGCTTCATTAAAGCTGTCAGGCAACTTCCGGGCAAAGAAAGCCAGAATAAAGCTGACCACGGCCAGCAAACCCATGTAGCTTAAGACAGAATAGAACAATATGGATGATGACTCATTGCATTGTAGAACTATTTCTTCTGGCAATGAATGCAGGTCAGCATCTGGAAATGGGGGAGAGGTCACCAGCCACACAAGACAAATGACTGCTTGAAGAACTGTACAAGAAAGAACAATGGAGTTGGTCAGTTTTTTCCTCATCCACTTCTTGATCCTGGATCCTGGCTGTGTGGCCTTGAAAACTAGTACCACCGTGATCGTTTTTGCCAGTATAGAAGAAACAGCAACTGTGAAGGTGATACCAAAGGTGATTTGTCGGAGGAGACAAGTCACCTTCTCAGGCCGGCCAATCAACAGCAATGCACAAAGGAAGCAGAGGAAAAGGGTGACAAGAAGAATGTAGGTGAGGTCCTCATTGTTGGCTTTGACGATGGGTGTCTCTCGATGCTTCATAAACACCCCTAGTATCAGAGCAGAGGTCAAAGAAAAGGAAAGCGCACAGACAGCTAAACTGATACCCAAAGGTTCTTCATATGATAAGTATGTTACAGTCTTGGGGATGCATGAATTCTGATCCCTGTTTGGATACTGATCCTCTGGACATTTGAAACAGTCAGCCATATCTGAAAAACCAACATAGTTTTGTTTGCTTATTCATTCATTCATTCATTCATTCATTCATTCATTCATTCATTCATTCATTCATTCGACATCTATCATTCATTCATTCATTCATTCATTCGACAGCTACCCATTCATCTAGACCAAAGGTCTACTCTGGGTGGCAAATATGCAATAGTAAATGTTTTTCTAAGACCTAGTGAAAGCTTTAATTAAATATCAAATCAAGCTGTTTTTTGTCATCTAATGGTACACTAATTAAACCAAAGCTGTTATACTTTGGGCATACTATTAGGAGACAAGACTTACTGGAAACAACAAGAATGCTAGAAAAGTTGATGGTAGTTGGAGGAGAAAGGGACTTAAGATTAGATGGACAGACTCAGTAAAGATATTCATAGCCTTTACTGATCTTCTGTGCATTGCCAACTTTTCTAATGCTTCATCCCTCAACAGTAGGAGTCCACAGTACTTGCAGTTTCTGTTCCAATCATAAGTCTGAACTCATGACTCCACCCATGAGTCAGAACATTTTGCCTTAGGGGCCAGTTACTTCAACCCCTTCAGTAATATTTATGAATAATGTTTGCCTCATTGTTCTAAGATTTCATCTTGCTACTGAGTTCAATAACCCAGGGGGCATTAATCGTGTGAACTCCCACTCACCCATATTTTAACATTCCCGTATCCAAACCTACAGAGGACGTGGTGGCGCTGCGGGCTAAATCGCAGAAGCCTGTGCTGCAAGGTCAGAAGACCACCAGTTGTAAGATCGAATCCACACGTCGGAGTGAGCTCCCGTCGCTTGTCCCAGCTCCCGCCAACCTAGCGGTTCGAAAGCATGCAAATGCAAGTAGATAAATAGGGAACCCCTCGGTGGGAAGGTAACAGCGTTCCATGTCTAAGTAGCACTGGTCATGTGACCACAGAAGATTGTCTTAGGACAAAACACTGGCTCTACGGCTTGGAAACGGGGATGAGCACTGCCCCCTAGAGTCAAACATGACTGGACAAAAATTGTCAAGGGGAATCTTTACCTTTACCCAAACCTCCACCCACCTATACACTACAACTCTACAGCTCTCACCAGTTTGGTTAGATATCCATCCTTTTGGACACAGAATGCAGTCATAACAGCAAAAAGGCTTCCCTTCCTTCTTCTTCTTCCTATAGCCAGGGAGGCATTCAGCGTTACAGAGTGAAACAGGTTGTGACTATGCAACAATAAGAGAAGAAACAGGAAATCTTCAGAAGAAATGCCTTGGGATCATGATCTTTGAAGAAAGATCATAGTATCCGATGATCTTCTGCATGTACTAAGCAACATGATTTAACTAAGAAAGAGGAATGATGAAAAGGGTTTAAGGGGAGAAAACGTATATGCCAGGACTCCATCGCTGATCATGTGAAATCTTCGTAACATACAAAGCTAATAGCAACTAATTGATGACATGCTCATTTCCATCTCATTTGTGCAATCATCTGCATTACCAAGTACATGACTCAGACATACCCCAGCTCCTCCCTAATTAATATACATCAGGCAAAAACAAAAGGGAAAACACAAAGCATGCAAATGCAAGTAGATAAATAGGGAACCCCTTGGTGGGAAGGTAACAGCGTTCCGTGTCTAAGTCGCACTGGCCATGTGACCACAGAAGATTGTCTTCAGACAAAACGCTGGCTCTATGGCTTGGAAACAGGGATGAGCACCGCCCCCTAGAGTCGAACACGACTGGACAAAAATTGTCAAGGGGAACCTTTACCTTTACCCAAACCTCCACCCACCCATACACTACAACTCTACAGCTCTCACCAGTTTGGTTAGATATCCATCCTTTTGGACACAGAATGCAGTCATAACAGCAAAAAGGCTTCCCTTCCTTCTTCTTCTTCCTATAGCCAGGGAGGCATTCAGCGTTACAGAGTGAAACAGGTTGTGACTATGCAACAATAAGAGAAGAAACAGGAAATCTTCAGAAGAAATGCCTTGGGATCATGATCTTTGAAGAAAGATCATAGTATCCCATGATCTTCTGCATGTACCAAGCAACATTATTTAACTAAGCATGAGGAATGATGAAAAGGGTTTAAGGGGAGGAAACGTATAGGCCAGGACTCCATCGCTGATCATGTGAAATCTTCGTAACATACAAAGCTAATAGCAACTAATTGATGACATGCTCATTTCCATCTCATTTGTGCAATCATCTGCATTACCAAGTACATGACTCAGACATACCCCAGCTCCTCCCTAATTAATATACATCAGGCCAAAACAAAAGGAAAATAAAAAATAAAGATGAAAAAAAAAGTTGTGGCACTTTAAAGACTAACTGCACCACTGGGGCTCAGTTCAACTCACTAGCCCCTGACAGCATGTCACTCCTGCAAGTTGTGCCTATTGGCCACTGCCTGTTCACTGCTTGTCAATGGGGCTGAGTTGCTGTCACTACGCTCAGTGCTCCACAGCTATTCAGAGGTGGTCTTGGTGTTGGGACATCTCCTTCTGATCTCAATTGGAGACAGCAGTGACAGCATCTCTTCTGGCTGGGGATCAATCCCAGCAGGTAAGTCTCTTTGGGTTTATTGAGTCTGTGCACCATTAGCTCAGGTGGAAAGGTGGGCACACTGTTTCCACATCCTCTCTGCTGGGTGGAGTTTATCCACTCCCTGGTCTACAGAACCATCAGGACCAGCAACCAGGCTTCCCCAGTGCACACAAGACAGAGAGTCATTCTTTCCAAGCTTCCAACCCTCTCCTTTGACATCTTCCTTCTTCCTGCTTTTCCAAGGACTGCCCTCTCCTCCCCACTTCTACTGTTCTCTTGTAGCAGCTGTTTCTCATCTTCATTTTCCCCCAGGTTCTCTGTCTACCCCTCTGGGCCATCTCTGAACAGTCTTCCAGAGGTATGAAGACAAGTTGGACATCCCATAAGGAATGCTGATAGCACACTACTCACACATTCCTTTTATAAGAAATGGTGCAATGTCTTATAAATTCATTTCACTACATGCAGTACAAGTCATCTGAAATCATCAGAAGACTGTACTCGGGACTTCTACTGTCCAAAGAATTCAAGATTGTTGGAGATGATCAAGACTCTGAGTTGCATCCCAGTTCTGCCTCCTGAAAGAGGAAAGGTTGCAAGCACAGAAGACAATGTGGGTGTGGAGATGTCAGCCATCTATGGTTTCTAGATGAGTATTTTGGGGCAGAAAGAAAGGGAAAACACCCATCAAAGCATCTACACATTTGAAACCACTTTACTGAGTATAGAACCAAAGAAACAATTAATTGTCACAGCATGTCAGGATTAAAAAATAGTTCAAACACCATGTGGCAGAAAACAAATTGTTCCAAAATTAAATGCTGTTCAATTTAGAAGTTAATCAACTCACGTCCTACCTGGTTAAACCAGTTGTGCCATACCATGGCATCCTCATTAATAGTGAGTGCTTGGTCAGTGGGAACCTTGGGGTCCATCCATCCAACCTTCATTCCATAGAAAGATTGGTTTGGAAAGGTAACCCAGTTGATGATGTCCAATTGTGGAAACAGATCCGCTTTCTGATCCAAGGAAATAGTTTCCCCTGCACTGTTGTTAAATGTCATAGACTTCAAAATCTGGTGGAGCTGGATTGAGAATAGGAGAAGCAATACAATTACCAGTACAAGAGATCTGACCATTTCCCTACAAGGAAGAAAATATCATTTAGGTAGATATTATCATATACAAAAGAACAGAAGTAATTTAAAATCTAACCTAAATATCTCCCACAAGACTGGTATTATTTAGGCCACATGCTTACAATGAATAGACAACACCAAAACAATCATTTCTTAGATTTGTTTGTATTGGATATGTCCCCCACCCTGGGAGCTAAAGAGGGGGTAAAATAGTGTAAAAATTCAGATGCATGCATCGTATCATTGATAATATCGAGGGTCCTTGTAAGCTTCAATGTAAACAATAGCCAGAATTAATTGTGAGGCAGAGGGGAAACATATGTAATACCAGGAGTTTTCAACAACGAGTCTCTTACAATGTGTACAAAGAGCATTATGTGTTACAGTTCATGAAAAATCTACAATGGGATTGAATTCCTCATTGTACTGTACTTTTGTTGATCCAACACATTGCTTTTGGTTTTTTCACTAAAGTCTTTGTGGGGTGGCAGTGGGCTTCCATTAATCCTGCATTGTGTGGTGGGAAACACATTGAAAATAAAACTGAATCCTGCTATTTGTTCCTCTTTTAATTTATATGCCCCATGCCTTGCTCTGGGTGCAAGCCTAATGGCTGCATGAGCAGATTTGCATGCCTTGCCCAGATGGTGAAACAAGCAGACTAGAGTGATCACTGGCTGCCTGGGCTCACCAGAGCAGGGTGGGAAAAGGGCCTACAGAAGGCAACCCCACCCTTGCTCAGGCTTCTGCTGAACACACGGCAACCCACCCACCTACCCTCAGATTTCAGTGCAAGACTAGCTGCTTGCTTCAGGCCAGATAGGAATTTTTGATCCGTATCACTTAATCGGCATATTGAAAAAAAGGTGTGTGGGTAATTTCCACCTCTTCCTGTACTGAGGGCCCTATGGAGCATGGATGAGTTGATGGGGATGGTGCTGTAGTTAAATAGGTGACACTGGCAGGTAGTGCGGATGGTGAATGAAGCATTGATGAGTTCCAAAGGTTACATCTGCTTTATATTGCCAAAGGCATCTTGACATTGAGGATCCTGAGATTCTGTTGTCAGGATGGCATAATGCATGGGTGGCATTTAGGCTGGCAGCCCAAAGTTGTGAAACATGGATGGCTGCTGGTGGTAAGGGTCCTCCGAGTCTTAGCTCAGAACGGGCTGTTGAGACGACAGCATATGGCTTGAAACTCACCAGATGGGGCAGGGTTGGAGTAAACAGGTACCTTTGCCACCTGCCTCAGGGATCCATGCTACAGTTGGCCCCTCTGCAGAATTGGAGGAAGTTAAATGTTTAATCAGTTAATGAAGTGTGGCCCTAGTTAAACCCATCACCTGTGTCCTGTCTCTTGTCTCCAGGGTGGGTGGTGAAAAATATATTTCATTATTTACCGTTCTTTCAAGGTGAGATTCTTCAGTTTCCACAATCTGCAGAAAACACATCTACAAAACTATAGCCTTTTTCATTTTCAAAGCTAAGAATGTCAAGACTCAAACAATCCATTTAGTGATGTGATGTTACTCATCCATGCATTAAGACAATACTTATCCCATTGTCCACTACTGCACACAATACAGAAATATGCAAAATTTACACATCTTCTCTAAGACAGACAACAAAACATGTCCATCTTGTGGTGAGTTGCACCAAACATCACATATTTAAAGTTGCCTTGCTGATTATGCCAGGACAAATCAAGTAGGATTTATATCCCAACTCAAATACAAAAATATATTTCCCAAAGAATTAGCTTCATTCAGTCATAAGCAACATGGGTATGC